CACTTGTTTTAAAAAGATATATATATGTATATATATATATATATTAATGATGAGAGAAATCACCAATAAATGAAGTATTCATTTATGTATTTATTTATTTATTTATTTATTTATTTATTTAAATTTTTATCTATTGATTTGTTCTTCCCGGCATGCCCTCTTTAGTAATTACAGTATTTGATGTTAGTAAGAAATTAAATTTTATTATTACTAGCTATCAACAACAACGTTTGGTATTATTTCTAGATTATGATTACGACTATTATGGTTATGGAGATTATCAAGGTGGCTACAGTGACCCGTATTACGACGACTATTACCGTTATGAAGATTACTATTACGATTACTCCCCTCAACCAATGGGGCGTGGTCGCACCAAATCAGTGCCGGTGGGTCCCAGTGTCCATTCTCAGTTACTGTAGTATTGAAGTGTCATCACATGGCGTGGCCTCACACTCCATACCAGTGCTTGGATGTTGAGGCTTTGTTTACAGTGGCTCGGAACTGGTCTCCAGAGTTGTCTCTAATGGCTGCATGATCAGTAATTACTTTTCATGATAATGTAAAAATTGAGAGCATGTTTTTATCCATGAACTTGCCCAAGGCCTAATATTTTTGAAAATAAGATAAATCATCATTAGGTTCTTAAATAGGATGAAAATTCAAACGAATCATTGAATATTTTACAAAGAATTTTTAAAAATGTTTGCTATAACTGAGGAGCAGAACTTTGCTCAACCATGATTTCAGGCAGTGGGCTGCAATCTACCTGTAGTCTCTGAAGAAATCCTGACAAGTTCAAATCTTTCCCTAAATGGCTTTTATATATATATAAAGATAAGATAAGGAGTAGGAATATGTAGGACTAGTTAGGTTGGCAGGAGTGTTCCTAGCATTTGGGGGCTTTGGAAGTGTGAGGCCACGTTTTGTTGGGTCCCATGCCTGAGCCAGCATTGCAGCAGCTCTGGGCTATGGTGGCTAAAACATGGCCGGGAAGAAGATTAACAATTCTCATGATAAATGTCATATGGTAATGAAATATGTAATAGCACTGCAGACTGAGCAGCCCAGCAACAATTCACTACTTGGTACCGCGCCCCGTGCCGTGCCATTCCAGGTGCTAACTTGTCCCCAGTGACCCCTAGAACCCGTCATGCACCACACCTCTGGCTCAGGGATGGTGACTCGTACTTTGCTTTAGTATTATAGAGCCTATTGAAGCTTGCTGCATACTTGCTGTCATAATGCTTACCTCGTTATTGAGGCCCCAGCTTTACCTTGAACACTACTGCACTGTTGTGGGAGGTTGACCACTGATTGTGGGTTGCCTTGTGCTTTCAGGCTGGCCGTGGGTATGGTATGGCGAGCCGTGGCCGCGGCGCTGGCCCCTCCCCCCGTGGGGGGCGGGGTATGGTGCCCCGAGGGGGGGCCATGGGGGGGCGTATGACTCGGCCGCCGCGCGCGGGGCAGGGGTTCAGAGGGTCCGCCAGGGGGGCAAATCTAGCAGGTGAGTCTTGAGCCGTCACTCCCTTGTATCTTGTGCCTACACCACCAACACCTAAGGTCATGTCTCATAAGTGTGCCATCAAGTGATAAAGAAATAGGCCAGGGGAAGCCTGTGATGCATATAATTCTTCCATTGTAGAGATCAGTCAGATAAGTGAGATGAAGCTTGATCCATTACAGGTAAAAGAAAGTTGGATGGCGGGCACCAGAACGAGGGGGACTCTAAGAGACGGTTCCAGAACACCGGTGCTAGCTGGGGGAACCAGCCTATCCCACAGCAGCCGCTGAGCTCATACAGTGGGGCCAACGGCAGCACGTACGGCGGGGCAGGCGGGGACCAGCAATGGTACCACGACAGCTATCCACAGTCGTGGAGCTGAGGTGTAAGCGGGTGGGCCGCCAGCACCAGGTGTAGAGGGTGGGGCGGGGGCATGGCGGGGCACAACTCCACCAAGTACAGTATGTCAGTCTGTCCAGACAAGCCTGATTTCAGGCACAAAGGACATTCCTGCCACTTGTATGTATGGGAGAAGTATCGGTGCTTGCACCAGATATTGGGCCCATGGGTGATGGCCGCCCCACCAATGCTGCGTCAGTGGGGACTGGAGAGGGTCGGCTGCCGATTCCCGGCTGAGCTTTAGTTTGGTCGGGGTAAGGGGGCCGCAGTCCACCCCACCAGTGAGACATGTACCTGAAAAACATCTCCACCATACCCAAACCCACCAGGTCAGTTGGGTAATAAAACATAACTAAATCTAGTAGGAGGAAGTCTCACAAGAGTGCTGCTCTAAATTTTATCACTGTCAACCACTAGGATGAAAAAAGCCAAACTGTGTTCATAGAAATTTCTCTCCAGTGGTTTTAATGAGCAGGCTGTTTTATTCCCGCTTACTTTGTGTTTCACATGCAATCTTCTTGTCTTTCAAATAAAATCTAAAAGAATAGTTCCCAATACAAACCTCTAATGTCCAGCAGTTTGCCCCCCTAGTTCTGGAGACTAATCAATTCAGTGGAAATGGTTAGTGGAAAATAGCTGCCCAAATTCCTGTATTAGAATTGATGTCAATGATACAACATCAGTACCATTTCCTATTATTCAGGTGTGTCCATCGATAAAGATTTTGCCTTCCTCTTCATTAAGTATAATACAAGGTAATTGTACAGGGGAAATTGCCAATGGAATTTTCTTGTTTATTAGCATCTATAAGCAACTTGTCAAAGTTACGATAGCAGCATCAGCATCAGGTCCTTCCATCCAGTTTGCCCCATAATACACTGTTTATACTTTTTTTTTTCTTTTTCTTTTTTTAAATTTTTTTGAATTATTAACATTATTTTCCCCCCAAAAAAGGCGGTCCTGCATGCACATTTCAGTGACCACACTATTTTCTTTTGGTATCCCTAAATGCTGTGTCCACTGAATAACTCTTGAACCTTGCTACTTGATTTGTAGTTCTTAGTTGGCATTAAGCAGATGCTCAGTGCAAGATTGAATCAATGCTCGTGAACTTATTGGAATGTTGTCAAACCAATTCAATGGAACCCGGTAATTTAAGATTTAACCCATATAGATATTGCAGTATTTGAATTTAAGCATGATTTCTATGGATTTTCTTATGTACTAATTAGAAAGATCCATATTCGATGATTGTAGACTGATTGAGGTGACTGTTGTAGTATGATTGGTCAGATAATTAATTTGTTTGGATCTGTACATATCCGGAATGCAGATGTTGTTACTCATTGGGATCTGTGGAGGGGCGACCAGTGTTAAGACACACACTGCCAGTCACAGGGAAAGATTTGGTGTGTTTGGATGACAAAGCAGTTATCTTTGGTGGAGATTGGACCAACTGGCTGTGACTAACTTGCGAAGACTTGAAATGTAAGAGTTTATTGTGTGTGTTATCTAGGAGCTATCAATATAGAGGATTCTTGGGGATTTGAAAAGTCTTTCAGTTCTCCAAGATTCCTGTCCGAAAGGATGAATTGTAGTTCCTGATAATGAATTGTTGTATTCATAGTTATAAGACTTTCTTGTGATAAGTAATGAGAGCTAGTTATTAGATGCTCCTTTTTTTCTGAAATATCATGAATTGTATGATAATCGGACTGCACACTGATAAGCTGTGCAAAAGCTAATATTTTTATGGGCTTTTGTTTGGCCTTTATTCTTTTAAATGTGTTATTACAAGATGTGAATTTATTAATCTAAGTTTGTTTTGGTCAAAAGATAAATATGTATTACCTAAACAAAAGTTATTCTAATATTCTAATTTTATGAGATTAAAAAAGAGCTAGGCAATTAGATATATTACATGTAATACTGCAGCTTGATTAGTAATGATTGGAGTGTGATTTTAAGCTGCAGTATAATCAATTTGACCCTCAAGTTTTAGACTTGTGATGACCTTGAACCAGACTTATGTACTACACGCTGAGAATTGGCACTAGAATGATCTTTGGCTCTGTAAGAAAAAAACTAAAAAGAAAAAAGATTAAAAAAAGGTTGAGAAAGATTCAGTGGAAATTCAAATATTTCAGCTTCTGCCAGATTTATGAATTGGGTATGCCAGTTGTGGTGTTGGCTACAATATGTCACTAATTTTTGTGACCATGCAGCTTGCACCAGCCTTCGGTTGTGTGCTTTTTACTGCATGTGTTTATTATCTTATTTAATACTACCTGCACTAAATATCTGGGCATTAAATGTTATTGCTTTTTATAATTTTTATATGTAGATGATATTTGCAAAGATGTATTTTAAAAATTGCAAAGGTTATTTGCATACAAGTCTCCTAAAATGAATAACTTGACTCCTGTAGCTATGGACAACACGCTGGACTTGATTACATTTTTTATTACACATTTCAATTATATAGAGAAAAAAATTCACCATGTGTCATTGTACTTTCTGGGACATCATAAAGCTATATAGACAAAATGGAAAAATGTATGCCATGAAATATTCCAGAATTTGGCCCAGTTTCATGTACTAATGGGTCACTGTAAAATATTAAGACATTTGCCATCTAGTTGTGGTAGTAGGGTCGCTGTGGTATTATGCATTGTGGCGAGTGAAGGTCGGTTATCAACAGGCTTCAAACTTGTATGCCATTCCTGTTAACACTAGCCTTACTGCATAAGTCTTGTCATTTCTAAAACAGGATTGAGCATGTGCCACTTAGATTTTCTTTCTGATCTATAATCCTGCAAAATATATTGTGGAAAGAGTTTACTTTGTTAGAACATTTTTCTTTAGTTTTATCTACCATACCGTCGATGACACAACGTCCACAAAACTTTTTAAAAGTTTGTCAGGAGATATTGGTGATGTATGCCTGTATTGTCCATTGTAAGGTTTGTAGTTTGTTCAAGAGGTGGTTGCCTTAGCCAAGAGGACTGAAGGGAGGGTAGTACCACAAGCTGGATCTTGGGAGTCCGAGGCTCGACTGTACCCAGTGATTGAATGGAAGTAAAGGAGATTTCCATTGTTCTTATGTTTTCTTCATTCCCCTAAACTGAGATATTTCAAAACCTTTTTTAAAGACAAACAGGTATAACACCTGTAAAAAAAAAAATACTCTTTACTGGTTGGTAGGCATTTGCCATTTTAAGAATAAGTGCATGGTTAAGTGTATCATTCTTTCAATCATATGCACTCTCTCTGCTTGTTTCTCTCTATCCCCCCCCCCTCTCTCTCTCTGCTTGTTTCTCTCTACCCCCCCCTCTCTCTCTGCTTGTTTCTCTCTACCCCCCCCCTCTCTCTCTCTGCTTGTTTCTCTCTACCCCCCCGTCTCTGCTTGTTTCTCTCTACCCCCCCGTCTCTGCTTGTTTCTCTCTATCCCCCCCCCCCTCTCTCTCTCTCTCTCTCTCTCTCTCTCTCTCTCTCTCTCTCTCTCTCTCTCTCTCTCTCTCTCTCTCTCTCTCTCTCTCTCTCTCTACCCCCCCCCCCCCCCCCCCTCTCTGCTTGTTTCTCTCTACCCCCCCCCCTCTCTCTCTCTCTCTCTCTCTCTCTCTCTCTCTCTCTCTCTCTCTCTCTCTCTCTCCCTCCCTCCTCCCTCCCTCCCTCCCTCCCTCCCTCCCTCCCTCCCTCCCTCCCTCCCTCCCTCCCTCCCTCCCTCCCTCCCTCTCTCCCTCTCTCCCTCTCTCCCTCCCTCTCTCCCTCCCTCCCCCTCCCCTCCCCCTCTCTCCCCCTCTCTCCCTTTACTACTATGGTCTCCTGCTTACCCTGTCATCACATTTTCCATAAATGAATGATGATAATGCAACTTGTGTTTGAACTTATTTAGCATATAAATTTAGTTGTATGGAGTACCTTTGATATGAAGTAATTAGAATCTAAAAGACCTTCCTAAAATGGTGTATATGTAATAAGTATGGTATGGTTATATACTCCGTTTTTATTTTATGTAAGTGTGAATGTATGTATAATCAAATATCTCCTCCTAAAGACATCTATATAAAACAAAAGTAGAACTGTTGAATTATGCACAAGATTTTGGCTAAGAGGCTGAGAAAGCAGACCTGCATGAACTTTAATAAGTACAGTAAGGACCAACTTAGAGCGTATACCACTCCCTTGAAAGAAGATGAAAAATGGAATGTATTTCTCAATATTTATAGTTACTGTCAATTATTTAAGGTAACATATCACTTCTAATCTGACCTTGTAGCTGGCAACAACCACCAAAACAATTTCTTTTCAATAGACTCACTTTCAGTGTATGAAATACATGGAAATACCGACTGTAATGCTGTATTTTACTTCTGGTCACACAAAATGAGTCTTGGTTAAATCAAGAGCCTTAACTGTTTTGCTCCAGAAGAAGGTAGGTTCCTCCTTTTCAGCCTCTACAACTCCAATTTGTGAAGAAGAGCCTTGCAGCAGAATCTTTATCAGCGGATTCATCCTTCACGCCTAGCATCGATCTAACATTGGAACCGTCAGCTGATGACAGACTGGTTGAAAAGTATTTATAGTGCAATATAAAAATAATTCGTCCATAAGTCTGACAGACTCGCGCTTTTAATATTTAACCCATTTGCCTAGTTATGTATACATTCCACTACAGTTTTGCTTTGGCAGTGTTTTTTACAAATGGATGGCTTCATAAGTGCTTAGGAGAGTTCATTTACAGTGCCTTCCAGACCTCACTTGTATACAGTTTTCAAGAAGAAAACGTCTCTAATGCTGCTGCTGTTATTACCATTGTCATTATAATTATTATGACAGTAATAAAAATTTAACTTTTGTAGAAAAGTTATGAATGAGAATGAATATCTTCACAGTGAGAGATGAGAATGACAGGTTTCTATTACATCTTTTTCAGAAATACATGTATTTCTGATGATATAAATGAAACCCATCTAATATGTGTCGTGCACTAAGATAATTATTCTCATTCATACCTTTCTATATTTGTTAGATTGAGCACATCTTATAAACTTTTCTTTACAAAAATTCAAGAAATAGGGGTAAACAGGAGAGATCAGGTAGGTCTAGTAATTGGCTCTTGGTAACAAAGGACTTTTGGAGCCAATTATGTGTAAATAAAGTTCATGAACAGTGGACAAGGCATGTATACATGCCATCCCAGCATTAACAGAGTATTCCTATCTTCATGCTGCTGGCTTCAACCACACACCAGTTTCTCTTACTTTATACCAGTATTTCTTTTTCCATTTCAACACTATAGTGTACACATTTATATCTGTGGTACTGTCACTTGTATCAGTAGTCTTGCTTTCCTTTGACTTTACTTCTTGTAATGTTCTTTACAGTTAAAAATAATTGTGGAAGTTTGCATTTTCAACTTGTAATACCAACCTCTCAATATTATTCATGGTGTATTTGATAGTGCCCATAACACCTGATACAGTCATTACCAACCTTTCATAATTGTTTTGTCTTTTTTCAGATTTTCCAATCTTTACAACAGTAGATTTCAGCAATGTGATGTTAAGGAGAAATGAAGATATTTCCAGATTCTGAGTATTTGCTTCATCAAGCTCCCATATTACAGTCTTGATTTGTAATTGTTAAACATTTGTATAGCAAACTTTCATTTCATTCAGTATCACTTATGTTGGTAAATCTTCACTTGAGCATAAAATTGACTTGGCCTTTGTAACTTAGACAAATTTCCAAATATCTATCACTTGTAATGAGAAAATTTTGTATTTAAATCAGCAGTAATGTAGTAAGAAAAAAGGAAATGAGCATTCATTGCAAATCACAGTTATTCCTATCATTCCCCAAATGGGAAAGATCTTTAAACTGCAACTGATCAGAATTGAGGGAAGCCTCAAAACCATCAGCTTGCTTAGTTGTAGCTAAAAACAGTATTTAATTCTGTATTTTTATATTCTAATTATCCAGGAAAAGTAACAGCCTGTTAAGTCTTTATAGTTATTAGGATTGTTTGAATTTATTATATTACAGATGTTGCTCTGAACAGAATCATGGGGACTAAAAAAAAATTGTATTCAGCCCTAACATATATTTATACTCTAATCTCTGGAGAAGAAAACTCCATTCACCCTGACTCAGGAGAACTCCCATTTGCTGTCCCATGAGGGGTGGATGTTGGGAACTGCAAATTTTACTTAAAGCATTAAAAGAATATTGCTTATCTGTTTGAAAAACAAACAAACTTGTAAACTAAAGTATTAGTGCCAGCTAATTTGGAAAAAAAGTGAATTGAATCATACTACTATAGATATTAATAGTGTAAATATCTGAAAACTGAATACAATTCTACCCCAACTGGCCTTCTACTCAAAAAGAAAGAAAGAAAGAAAATTATAATGACGATAATAATTAGATAAATAAAAGGGTCACCCAATATTTTTATAAATATGTAAATACTTTCAGGGCATCTTCACACCATGGGCAAGTAAATAATGAAATATGTCAAGCTTTACACTTGATTGAAACACTGCCAGATTAGATACACGTACACTTATTTACAGTTCGCTGCATTACTAGATATATGATAAGGGACAAAATAAATCTGGTTAAGCATTATGCTTGCTCAAACACATGTGCATTTTGTATAGAAATTTGCATGCCTTACTGTTTCCAGTTACATGCTGTAATTCAACTGAAATGTGCTTTGTTTTTACATAAAATAAGTGGGGCAATAGCATGGTAAAACCTACAGGTTTGTTCTTATCAGATATTAGTTTTAGAAGATAATTGCCTAACAATACCAATACTCTGGGCATCTTTAATCATAGCTCATTTTCTGTATTATCAATCTTATATTCAGTATTATTATCTTCAATATTATCTTATCTTATTAAGTATTATCTTGAAAGGCTTCTGAGGCCCTTTTGAATTTAATTGTAAAATAGTGGTATCTTATTTCTGGATAAATTAAAATTACGATTCTCAGCTGTTCTGTAATAAGGGTAATAAAATTAGAGCATTACTTCAGAACACTCCCTTTAGGAATGTTAGGAAAATCTTTGAATGATGATAGGGAGAACATGAATTGAGGGGGGGGAGCAATCTGGAGGCAAGAGGTCAGTAGTGTAATTGATGCAAAATTTGTTGTAAACATACATATTTTACAAAGAATATAATACTTGGGGAAGAGATGGCTGTATTTTATATTACTGTTGGAGAAGCCTGAATGTGTATTTTTAAGAAACAATTGGTACAAGATGCACCAAAGTAGAAAACTCATTTGCCAGCCAGAGCAGACAGCAGACATAGGATTGACCATTGTTAGTCCCTGTGCAGGGCAAGGGCTCAGGTTTATATGCATCATAAGTTATATTCAGTCTTACTGGTGTAACTTATTGCCACTATTTTTCATGTATACTGTACTGTAAATTTACCCACCCATGAAGTACACCAAATAAACTGATATTCAAGATTGTTTTATATGTCAATTTTTTTTTTTTTTTTAGATATGTTTTTAATTTGCAGTGTATATGGGATAGAGGGTAGGGGAGTTACAAATATGGCATAGGAGGTAAGGGGGATTAGGAAAAACTTTAAGAACCACTAATTGTAGATTTAGTAAAGTTTAGCATTGTAATTGTTTATTATCAAAAATATTGTCAGTTTTCTTATTCACAGCCTTATCAAATATATATTTTTATTGTCATGCATATCCTTGCACTGCTATTTTAAAGAGATATACAGTTCTTTTTAATACTTTTCAAATAATAAGTACTGACAACAAAAAATCAGAGCCCAGCAGTCAGGAAGTTGAGAACTACCCTTTAAATTAATAAAAAAATGACATTTTTATTATTTTATTATTATTTTCTTTTCCGTATTTTATTTTGTGGAAGCTAACAACCATGTTAAAAAGTTAACAGTTTGCTCTATCAGGCTATGGTCACTGAAGATGTAGTATAACATTTTGTTGTGCTCATATTTTTCTATAATAAAATTCTGAATAGTATAAAAGTTTCATTTAAATGTGTTGAACTTTACAGGGGAGTAAACTTGATATTTCATATCACCATCTTTATT